GCTTGACTGAGAGTTAGGATCAAACGAGAAGGTTGAGATGACCCTGTCCGCCTCTAGGTGGGTTGGGCGAAGGCCGCTGGGGCTTATCTACATTTTCTCCCCTGGCTCTTGTTCGATGTGAGGCGGCCTCGAGCCCTCCACGGGCCAGGCTTCGAACCCCGGTCTCCCGATCTAGGGTTGGGCGGCTCGAGCCCTCGAGCCTAGTGGGGCTCGGTAGGGGTCGGCCGTGTTTCATGCGTCACCCCGCCGTCGGCTTCCACAACCGGAGGTGACTCATTGTTTGTCTACGACCGCATGTTCGGTCTCTTTGCGATGCCGAGCCCCCGCGCATAGCGGGGGTGCGGTCAAGGGGTTGGTTCGTCTTGTGATCATCATCCCTCACGCGTCCATTCGCTAGAATGGAGGGGCTGAGCCGTGCCAAGCTTTCCTCGCTGGATGGAGCACGGTGCTCGGTGAGTTGTTAACGGGCTTGTTCGAGTGGATCCCCAACATCCCCTTCGTGAGGCCCAGTTCAAGATCAGCTGGTGACCAACTCTAGATTCTTGGTGGCCGGTCCATATAGTTCTCGAATCTGTTCGACCGGTTCGAGGGCTCGATGCCTTTCTTCGGGGAAAAACCATGGACCTTCCATCATCCAAGACTCGAAACAAGGGTCGGGACGCACGTGGCGCTTCACGCGCCTCAGGTATTGGTCGCTAGCGGGCCCGTCCTTAACCTCCCCTCACTCTAGGGTGCCCTGGAGTGGCCGTGCACCCACTGGTGGGATGGCCTTCATACCTTGGGCGTTAATAGGCCGTGGGAGCATTTTTAGCTCCGTATTCCACTTACCTATGGTGGCCCGTAGCCTTTGAAGGCGAACCGTCGCTCAGCGGATCCTTCATGGGGAAGATTTGGATAGGCATGCACTTGTTTCTTGGTAGCTTCCTAGAGCTGTTCGATCGACCTAGGCATAGGATTTACTTCGATGGTAAGAGTGATGGGTTCGGGGAGCTCTTACCGGACATGATCGAGCGGGATCCGGGCCCGTCGTTCGCGACAGGATCGACATAACCCGCGCGAGGTTTCCTGCTGCTCCCTACCCATTTCCCTGTAGTGGCCAAGCCGTTCGATCAACTTGTGTTACCTGTAGAGACAAGACTTTCTTGTGGAGAAAGAGGATGAGGACATCCCGCGCAAGAATTTAGTTAGGCAGATAAGCTAGGCGGAGAACTTGTAATAAATGGTTAAGCTCTTAAATTTCGTTATAGCAAACAGCTTTTTTTTTACCTCTTCTCCCCTTTTTGTGTAAAAAGATTAGTGCATTCCGACCCTTTTTGTCGTTAAGGTCATAAAAGCTCGGGATGCAGGTGAGCCAATTCTAATCACGCCAGTGAGCCAAGACGCCGTAGCCGTTGGGGCGTAGGTTTCATGAAGCTCGAACAATTATACTCAGAGCTTGTTCCCGTAAACCTAGCTCCTAGGTCTTAACATGAAAGGGAATCGGGTACAGAGAATGTTTGCTAGGCGGATAGACTTTTAAATGCGTATCGGCCCTTTCCACGGCTAAGGCCAAAAAAGCCCGTGGTGCGGAAAAGAAACTCTGATTATGCTGGTGAGCAAAGGCGCCGTAGCCACTAGGGCATAGGTTTCTTACGGTCCGACCAGTTTTACTCAGGGTTCATTTCCGCAAACTTTGCTTTTGGGTCTTAATTGTGAGAAAGGGTCGAACGTAGAGATTATCTGCTGGACAGATATGCCCTTATTAGTCCCCGAGTGAGGCCCGACCCCCAGTCGTTTGCTAGGGTCGGGTGTCACAAAAGATCGGGGAGACCCTCCGCCGTTTTCTAGGGTCAGGTGTCACAAAAGATCCGGGAGTTCAACATCGAAACTAATAATAAGAGAAAGTATGCGTTTATTAAGGGTAAAGTGACATAGCTGCTTAATGTTCCAGGCGTTGACGAAGACTCGCCGTTGATGGTTTTGAGCTTATAGGCGCCTGGCCGAAGCATCTCCGTGACGACGTGCAGTCCCTCCTACGGCGGGGAGAGCTTGTGGTGGTCCTTGCATACTTGGCCTAGCGAAGAAGGGTGACATCGCACGCTTTGCCTAGCTGGGCTCCATCCTATGTCCCCTCTTGTTAGAGCTTCTAGACAAGAACCACTTTAAAAGAACGCAGTCCTTGTATAGGTGCTTGATGAGGAAAGCATGGTTCGGGCATGGCCTTTCAAGTAGCTTCTCGAAGTGGCTCGAGGTGCCCTCTGCGGGCTTTCAGCCCCCCGTGCGGTCGGCGTTGGCCACTAGCGAGCTCCCGCGCCACCGCTTTGTTCTTCCTTTTGTTGGGAGGCTTGGAGGCGCCTTTGTCAGCGTCCTCATCCCGCTTTGCCTTGCCCTTAAGGGCATGTCGGCCAAAGGCCTGAGGTCCCATCAAGTCGGGGCTTGGGCTTCAGTCCTCACCGCTGTCATAGCGTTCGCCCTGACGTGGATGGTAGCCGTGGCTAGCCCCCTCCTTCGCATCGCCGTAGACACGCCTACGGGCGTCGAGGGTGTCGCGGGCATCGCGGTGCGCGGCCCTCTGCCCTGTTGGGCCTGATGGACCAGTACGTCCTCGTTGGGTTGTTCTGAGGGTGCTTCGCGTCTACAAGCATCGAGGGTGTCACGCGCGTCACAGTGGAGCTCGAGACGCTCATGCACCAAAATCATGGTGCACGGCCTTCCGTAGTTGAGGCTGAGGAGCTAGTTGTTTCTAGGGGTGCGGACCTCCATTGTAGGTAGCTGTAGCTCCTTGGATGCCTCGGCGATTGCATCAAGGCCGGCGAAGAGGAGGGGTTGTGTGGCCGTGGAAGACCGCACCAACTCTCCCTCCGTCGTAATGACAAAGTCCAGGTTCCCAAAATGCATGCGCGCACCTGGGACCCATCTGACGTTGCGATTAGCCATTCGAGGCCTGGTGTTGATGTCGAGATGCGCAAAAAGATCCCTACCTAGCGCGCCAACTGTCGGTGTTTCGAGTAAACACCAACGAGTAAATTTGTATTATTACACGTCTGGCTCGGATGATGTGCTAAGAGGACACAAGGATTATATTGGTTCGGGCTGAATGTCCCTATATCCAGTTTCGGGCTGCTCATGTTACCAGCACTGAGTTTGTAGTATGGGGTTACAAACTAGCGAGAGAGGGACAGGTCCCAAGTCTGGTGGAAAGATCAAATGGGCGCCGAGAGCTCAGTCGCTGCTCAGCTGTGTGTTCGAGGTTCGATGCTCGTAGTTCTGATGCGATGTGGTGTGATATGCGATGCCCCTTAGTGGGACGCTCTGCTTTTCCTTTTATAGGCCAAGGTGAAGCAGAGTTACAACTAAAGGGAAGAGGAAAAAATAAAGAGAAATAAGGCTCCCGGAGGTGTGCTGTCCTCCTCTTCGTGTGGGTCCCGCTGACCCTGTATATCGTGGTGGTAGCGACGTTGTACCGGAGTCCTATTGGCCGCTACAGCTTACGTGCGGGCGTCGTGCACCGTTGTTGTCTTCTGTCCCATCTGAGCGGACGGAATGGTCAGAGAGTCCCCTAACATTGGCCATACGGGGGGCTAGCGGTATAGTGCCAGTCAACTGACATCGGTTGATTGACGTTGGACGGTGGTCAGGCAGGGAGTTGGCAGCACAGTGACCACTCGTCCGTTACTGTGGGCGATGTGAGTTCCTTGGAATGACATGTTGTGGGGACGGGTTGTGCTGAGATGTGACCGCTCCCTGCATGATGCCAGAAGTTTGACCTTGAGTAGTACTTTCTGGCTCGTAGTGGTTGGCAGTGATGTGAGCCTTCGTTAGGAACCATGTTTGAGGGATCGGGTGAGGCGGAATCAACCCTCAGACGTTGGCCGAGGCAGAACCGACCCTCGGGGGTCGGTCGAGGCAGAGCCTACCCTCAGGAGTCAGCCGAGGTGGAGCCTACCCTCGGGAGTCAGTCAAAGCGGAATCAGCCCTCAGACATCGGGGCGAGGCGGAGCCAACCCTTGGGGGTCGGATGAGACGGAGCCAATCCTTGGTAGTCAGCCGAGGTGGAGCCGACCCTCGAGGGTCGAGCGAGGCGGAGTCTGTGGCCTCAGTGTCCACCGAGGCGGAGTCAACCCTCGGGGGTCGGACGATGCGGAGCCCATGTCCTCGGTGGTTAGTTGAGTCGGAGCCCAGTAAGAGGTGTAGTCGCGCTCTTGACCGCTCGGATGAATCAACGTTGATGGTTATTAGCTCCTCCTCTTCGGGTACCCTAGTATTAGTCCCCAACACATAGTTATAATACTAGAGTAATAATACATCACCATCCATTCTAGTAATTCAAGAGGATTCCATTTCCATGATGGATGGATCATGAATGGGGAAAAAATTAAATGACAGGAAACATACAGAATAATCTTCTCAAGTTCTAATTACATGAAATACAAGACTTAGTTATGTCAGGGGTTCCAGTCATCTATTCAATACATAGCTTGGACATATATAAAACTCTCAAAAAGTTGTTCACGAGACAATTATAAACAAAAGGCATTCACACATGCCAAGTGAAGCTTAAATTCACATCATACATGTGGCAACGTTAAATTGAAAAAGGAGTCATGGTTAACGATGTTTGCATAGTTTGGAGAAGCCTCTTATTTATCTCAGGGGCTTTGACACAAAGAATAACAACTAGAGTGCATGCAAACAGTGTGATACAGCATAACCGTATAACATGTTGACCAAGCTTAATTATCAAGAGTTAGACATTAAAATCTTCTCAACGAACATAAGTATGTTGTGAATCATCGATGGCCACTAACCATTTTACATGCAACTTAAAGCAATGCAATAAAAGATTCTTACACAATTCATGGATTCCCACACTCATTGTCATTTTGGCACCTACCCTTGTCTCATCAATTAGTAAAGTTTAGCACACATTCATGCTCCCTTCCCTTGCCTCATCAATTAGTAAAGTTTAGCACACATTTATGCAGCTATATAAATGGGACAGGAGGATCAGTATCATTTACCTAGCTGGATCACCATGTGTAGCAATCCATGGCTCAACAGTGGATGCACCGAAGGTGTCGACACCACCCCCGACCTTGGTCATCTTGGCGAGATTGGCCTGCTTGGCGATCCACTTGAGCACCTTGATCCCGTCCTCGAACGCGATAGGGTATCGGCTCTCTGGCGCAAACCTGTACCCCACGGCGATGACAATGGCATCACAGAGCTTGGCGACCCTCCTGTAGACACGCGCGGTGTTGCTCCCGGTGACGAAGCCGCCGCCGTGGAACTACACGACGATAGGCAGCCTCCGGCGCGCCAACACGGCGGCGCATGGCGAAGGCGACGCAGCGTCGCGGGAGGTACCCTCAATATGGCACACCGGCGGGCGCGCGGGGACGTCGAGTGGGGTCTTTGGCTGGCGCGAATCTGCGGCGTGGCGCGAGGAGGTGCGTAAAGGGATGGCAGTGGGGGCGTGGGGAGGAAGATACGAACGGAGAGCGAGGAGTTGGGGTCGATGTGGAGGTCCTTGGAGGCGACGCCGTCGGTGGAGGCGGAGAAGGCCGGGTTGGGCGGTGCGGTGGCCTCGTCGGGGCGGTAGGAGACCCCAAAGGCCGCGTTGTCGAGGTCCCCCACGGCGGCGGTGGCGACCAGCGACTGGAGGCGGTGGCGGAGGAAGAGCTTGAAGAAGACGCTGTAGATCTTCACGCCGACGCTCGGGATGGCTCGCCCCTCAGCCGGATCCGCGCATCACACGGGGCGAAACCCTAGGGGCGGGATCTCAGGCGGCGCGGGCGGGTTGCGGTGCGGTGGGGAGGGGGATAGGGTCGGATTGAGGTCGGGTGACGCGGGAGGCGGGACGAGTGGAGTGGTTGGGGGAAGGGAAAAGCGAGGCGGGCGGATGACGACGGCGTGGCGACAGCGTGGGTGGGGTACGGGGGAGGAGGAAAGAGGCTGGCTGGCGAGGCAAGCAAGGAACTAACGAACAATCGAGAGGAAATAGGGGGTGTGGTGGTGGGTGAGGAGGAAGGAGGGATGGAAGGAAAAGACGGGGAAGGCTGGTGCTGTTGCTGGTGCTAGTGTTGTGTTGGCTTTCGAGTTTGGAGTTTGGATGGAGGCGTTGGCCGCGTCCCTCCCAAGTCCCAACGTGATGGTGCCGCCGGTGCTCGCCTGGATTCAATTCAAGAGCCTTTTATCTGTGTGCCATTAAAAAAGTTTGTAATTATACACAAGTCATTAAAAACGTTGACCATACATAGGTGCCACTGCTCTAGACTTCTTTGCCTTATAAACCATTCCGTCCTTGTTCTGTTTGTTTTTCGTCGTTTGGTAGCTCTTACAGGTGGGACCGGCCAGTGAAATTGTCCATGTTGGCATTGGGCGGTGGAGACCGTGCTGACTACAATTGACCGCCACCTCAGTTTTCTTGGTCTCCCCATGTGCCCCTCTCGGAGAAGAAGGGGAGCGCAGGGGAGAGTCGCGACCGCCGCCGGGAAGGCACATCGTTGCCGGAGCTCGCGGCCACTGAGCAAGCACGTGGCCGCTGGGCAAGCTTGCGGCCGTTGAGACGCGACGCCGGAGCTCGAGATGCGGCCATCGGAGCTTGGGACGTGGCCGTCGGATCTCGAGAGGCGACCGCCGGAGCACGTGACGTGGCCGTCGGAGCTCGGGATGCAGCCGCCAGGTTGTCGACGTGTGGGCGTGCGGCCGTTGGAGCACAGGCCACGGCCGCCGAGGGGCGTTGGGGCTCGGGGCGAGACTGCGGGGCCGTCGGGGTTCGCCGCACGACCGCCTGGGAGGTCGTCGGGCCGAGTCATCGCTGTGTCGGGTCACCCGGGAAGCGGTATTGGGCGTGCGGGTTCGACGCGATTGATTCTTGCCATGAGACTGGAAGCGTCTTGTGATCGCCGGGAGGCGTGGGCGAAAGCCGCCGCCGAGGGTGCAGGGCGGTGCCGGGGCCGCGAACGTTGGGCTAGGCCAGCTGGGGGTAAAGGGCGGGCCGGGGCAGGAGGCACCGGGCGGCGGCGCGGGCCGAGGCCTAGAGGTGCCGGGCGCAGGGGAACCACCGGCTGTGATCTTTGACGACGCGCAAACCGCGTTGCGGTGCATAGGAGCGTCGGGGTCGTCATGGGGGGGAAGAAGATAAGGAGGAACACAGAGAGAAAGAAAACTGAGGTGGCAGTCAATCGTAGTCAACACGGTCTCCACTGCCCAAGGACAATATAGACAATTTGATTGGACGGTCCCACCTGTAAGGGCTACAAAATGACGAAAAACGAACAGAACAAGAACGGAATGTCTTGTAAGGCAAAGAAATTTTGAGTGACACCTGTGTGCGGTCAACTTTTTTAATAGTTTATGTGTAATTACAAATTTTTTTAATAACACACAGGTAAAAGGCTCTGAATTCAAACCCCGCTCCGCCTCCTCGCCCTGTCTGCTGTCTGGTTATTAGTTTTTCCCTACCCTGCCGTAGTGCCGCTGTCCCTTTTTTTCCTCTTTTTTTGTTTTTGGTGTGTAGACCGTAGACAGGTCTCATGGTTCAAATGCATATATAATGAAAATTTGAAGTCTTTATCGTTATTTATTACTACTATACTATTTTCATCAGTAGCCTTGTGACTAGAATTTGAATATGCTAATAAGGACAGTCATAATTGTATATTTATGATGGTTTCTATGTGTATTAATTACCTTGACAACTCAGCTTTTTGCAGACGTGGCAAAAGAATTAACGAGGAGAGAGAGCACAGAACAGAGAAACGATTTCTACCCTACGAAACGGAGTCCACGCTGGTACCGAGACCGGAAGAAACCACCCAAACCGCGGGGAGACGCTACTCGTTTCCATCCAGATCCGCTGCGCCATGCCTCCGCCGCCGCCGCGCAGACTCCTGGCGCGCCCGCTCCCGCCTCCGCACAATCTCCCGCGCGCGCTCGCCCTCAATCTCCCGCGCTCGCTCGCCCCGTGCCCTAATCCAAGCACTTGTTCTCTGGAATCAGTAGAGGTGAAGACCTAGCCTCCTCTGCCCCAATCCATCCTAAGTCTCTTAGAAAATGAATCACCTGACGAGAAATAAGAGCTCAAGATTCAGGCGAGGCACTGGTGCTCCCGTCGCCCTTGCTGCTGGATCCGCTACGGTCACCGGTGCTCCTGCCGCCCTTGCTGCTGGATCTCCTTCGGTCGCCGGTGCTCACGCCGCCCTGGCTGCAGCGTCATCTCCAGCACCCGCAAGTGTTCAACTCGTCGGATTTCCTGCGTGGTGGACAAGCTCATCTCCTATGGCCTCTCCCACTGAAGGGTATGTCTGTATATATGCAGAGTTGTCAATTTTATTCTAGTACATCTTCTGGATATATGCAAAGTGGTGGACATATGCAGAGTTGTCAATTTTATTCTAGCACATGTACTGTTCAAGAAGCTACAATCTCTCATGGACAAAACCCAGAGATGGAAGACGTACTTAATAAAAATACCGCCTTACATGATCGCCAAGCGTACAAACAACTTCAATCTGATTTGATTGATCATATTTGGCAAAAGTTTGGAAATTCAATTAGGCAAAATAATTAGGTACGTATGTAATAGTAGATTAGTTTCTAGACATATACATGTTTATGTTTTTTTTTTGTTCTCTATGTTTATGTTTGTTACATTTTTTTCCATTCATTGTTTATTATTTTTTCACTTGTAGATGGTGCTGTGGAACCTGATTCCTTCTGGAGGACTTTTGTAACCTGATGGCTTCTGGAGGACTTCCGAACCTACCTGAGATGATGCTGTGCAACATTAGAAGTACGAGGCCGCGCTGTCTCCGCGGCCTCTGAGCATGGCCACGGTAACCTGCTCTATTAGGCCCGTCCGATATTGTTTTTATGGCTTAGATCGTGTCGTTCTTATTTTTCACTGAAGGGAGAGCAGGTCCGGTCCTGTCTCCGCTCGTCCGTCGATCCTGGACACTTTTTTTTAGGCCTTGTTTAGTTGGCAAATGTTTTTGAAAAATGATAGCGTAGCATTCGTTATTATTTGACAATAAGTGTTTAATCATAGTCTAATTAGGCTTAAAAGATTCGTCTCGTGAATTTCGTCTAAACTGTGTAATTAATTTTATTTTTTATTTATATTTAATGCTTTATGCATGCATCAAAGATCTTGAAAAATTTTGTAAAATTTTAGAAACTAAACAAGCACTTAATATACGATCTCCTGGTAGATCCTCACAGTGCGTGCGTTGATCCGGGCAGGGGTGGTGAACTGGTGATTTGGCAGGGAGGTAATCTGGGCCTTGTTTAGATTGCAAGTTTTTTCACTCTCTCTATCATATTAAATCTTTGGACACATGCATGGAGTATTAAATGTAGATAAAAAAAATAATTAATTATATAGTTTGATTGTAAATTACGAGACGAATCTTTTGAGTCTAGTTAGGTCATGATTGGACAATAATTGTCAAATACAAACGAAAGTGCTATAGTGCTAAATACTGATTTCTAACCCCAATCTAAACAAGGCGCTGATGTACACTACTCTACTTTCTTAGGGGAGTGGAGCCCAACGATGATTAGCCAGCGAATCAACGCCATAGGCATTTCGCCGCGCTCTAGAACAGGCGTGGCTAAAAGTATTAATTTAGAAATAAAAAATAAATAGTGTTAGATTTAAAATTAGTTTACAAAAAGTGTTAAAAAAAAAAAAATCTGGTATTATGCTACAGCCTAGATTCTCCACGCATGCTGCCGGTGGTCTCAAACATATGCATCCAGCCAGATAGCATCCATGCATCATAGGAGCTAGCAACTGTTGATCACTCTAACTATACAGTAACAACTATCGGCGCCTTTTGTTAAATCACTCTCTCATATATTACTATAGCCCCGTTCGCTGGTTTGAACTTTGGCTAAAAAAAACACTGTTCCGGCTGAATTGTTGTGAGAGAAAAACACTGTTTTGAAAAAATAAGCCGAACAAGCCAAATTTAAGACAAGCGAACGGGGCCTATGTGGTGAGAGAGTCTGATGGTGACATTTCATACATATATCCCTTCTGATGCAACAGGTTCAACAAGGTAAATGGTACTTAGCACATACCCTTAGATAATTAGATATTTTTAGGTATAAATCAATCTAAAAAATAACAGAGTTTTTAGCTTCTCACAGCATCGATGGATGGCTTTCATCGACACTGTGATAGCACACCCAAAGAATCCAGCAAGTACCAATCTCTTGCTTTTGTAGCAGGTTGTACTTTAAGGCAACGATGACCATGCCAATGAAGGGCTGGAATGCTATCTTTTCAAAACTCCTTAAGTTTGGCACTTGGACTCTGAGTAGTGATTAATTTACACTTTATCAGTAACAATGATGTCTGAATGTTGCTTGCGTCTAAGTCCATCTGTTTGCAAGGCTTTCATGCACATTTATCTTATTTCATCTGTGCATTCATAAATCCTCTATTTCTCTTGCGGTTCATGTGGCATGTACTGGGAACTGATGCTGATATATTCATTGCCTAATTACTTATCCTGGAGTCATTTTGCTATTTTTCAAGGCAATCAGCTAGAGTTCTCGCACACTTCTGGCAAGTACCATTGCAGCATGCCCTTTTGTCTTCTTTGTTCGGAAGAGTATATATCCTAGCACAACAACATGCTCATACCAAACTTGTTGTCCTTTCTGCTTGACTATGCATGTATATGATATTGACCCTTTATGCGAATATCTATACTAGCACAACAGCACACAGCGTGCCAACCTTTTGTCCCTTCTATGTAATTATGCATGTTCGAACTTGTTGTCCCTTCTGCCTGACTATGCATGTACTCTCTCCGTCCTAGATTAAATGGACGTCTGGAGTTCAAATTTTTTCCCAATTTAATCGATCACATAGGTCTCTAGTCCTAACCTGGCGGACAGAGCTGCGGTACCTTTTCATGGCCACAAGTTTTTTTTTCCTCGATAATTCCTGGCCACAAGCTCACTGTCTCCAGATGCATTGAACGCCAGATGAGTGTCTTACTATAGGATGCATGAAATGTCACAATCATACACTTCCACACAAAGAAGACAAAAGGGCATCAGACGGCATGCATGCCATGAAATGTCACCATCGTACTAGTGCATCATTTGTGCTTTGTTGCTACTGTATTACTTGTTCCATGGGTCATTAGCGCCAATTAGTACCTTCGATATTTTGAAAAGTTGATTTCTTTGTTATTCCCAGACCAGTGCATGGGTTGAATTTGATTACTACATGTTCTTACCAGTTTAGTACATGGATTTAAATTTTTCCTTTATTCATGATGAGATTAAATTAACCATGTATTATGTGCCCATGTGAACTTGGGTCATGTCTATTTCTTATTATTCGTCGTGTTCTTACCGATAGTGCGTCCGAGATTCTCCTCTTCCCTATATAATCATGACCTTCCTGCTTTGCTCCACGGCACCCCTCATCTGTCTTTGCCTTTGTTATGTTCTTGAGTATCGCCTACTCGAGACACTCGTGTAGGGCAGTGAAAGTTGAACTAGGAGACATTTGGTGCCAGAATATCAAGTTAGATATACTGAAACTGATGGTCCTATGAAGCATATTAAAAAAAGTAGTACCACACACCTTCCATACATTTAATTTTGTGGCCACCTCAGGTCAAGAAACATTGCAAATTTACAGACACAATCTGCCGGCCTTTAAATCGTGTTAGACCTTTCCTTGGGAATCGGTTCAACAAGAAAATATGTCGTATGTGCATGCTTCTTGTCACTTTTGAGTTTGGTACCTTTGTCTATGGAGATGATTTTATGCTCCCTATAGGTGATCCACCAATAATGTTTCATGGAGGGGGCGCCTGTTAGCAATACAAGGAAGAAGGTTCGGAGAGAAGGCTCCTCCTCCCAGCCAGGTGCACTCTCTTGTGGTTGCATTATATATTTGCTTATTGTGTATAAGCAGCAAATTTGCTATCAATGTTGCAGGAGTTGTTACACCATCTACTGGGAGAACTATACGGGAGAGGCAGGATTGCCGAAGATCTATAATAAGAGCGAAGAAAGAAGGTAGTTATTGAAGTACTTCCTCCGTCCCTAAATAACTATCACCGTTGGTGTACGTGCCGTAAGTTTGACTTGATTTGGAGAAAATGCGTGCAACATTAGTAGCTCCAAATAAATTTGTTAAAAACTAGATTCAAAGATCTTTTCAATGATACTAATTATGTACGATAAATATTAATATTTTTAATATATATTTAGTCAAAGTTATTTCTTGGAAAGCGAAAACGACAGATATTTAGGGACGGAGGGGAGTATGTTTATAATCCGAAGATATTGGTGCGCTCTTGGCAAGCCATGGACCCCTATATTATATTGGGGTACTAGCTAGGGTAGATTCTCTGGGATGACCAACTAATTATCTAACGTTGTTGTAGGTAGGGTTATAGGTTCTAGTAAAAGGGCAGCAGAGGGAGGGCAGCAGTGTCAGAGGCTAAAAGCAAGGTCAAGGAAAGAAGGTACTTGTTTGCATGTGTGTGTCTATATATTGCAAGTAGAAAAATCATATTTTCCTTGGTGGTGGTTGCAGACGACGAGATATCATACTATGGGCCTCCTGCGCACAAGTGTCAGTACTGCGGTGCGCAGTTTTGGTACCAAGAGCGTGTGAAAAGAACGTATCGAGGTGAAGGAGACTGTGTACGTGCGCTTGCCTCTTCTAAAAGATCCCCTCCATTTCTAGCTGGTTTGTTGAACCCAAATGGTGATACTTTCTCTAAATACTTCATCAAATCTATACGTTCATACAACTCCATGTTTGCTTTCACTTCACTTGGTGCTAAAATTGACATGGATATAAACAAGGGTCCTGGCCCGTATGTCTTTAAAATTAATGGACAGGTCCACCATCAAATTGGATCTTTACTACCAGATGAGGGTAAGTCTCCTGTATATGCACAACTTTATATTTATGACACCGATAATGAGGTTGAAAATCGAATATCAATTTTTGATAGGGATAGGGACTGTGAGGGTGAGAATGAAATTGATAGAAGAATTGTCGAGGGCTTAGTGAGGATGTTTGATGCAGCAAATGAGCTGGTGAAATCCTTTAGGGCAGCTAGGGACCTATTGGTCCAAAACAATAGTTGCCGCCAATTGCGTCTCGAGCTATTGCATGATAGATCGAAAAAGTCGCACCTCGATTACAATGCACCAACAGGATCCGAGATATTTGCTTTGATAGTTGGTGACTTTTTGGAGGAGAAGAAGAGTCCGATATAATAATTCAGGATAGAGGCGGTGGGCTTAGAAGGATTAGTAACCTTCATTCTAATTACATGGCTTTGCGAAGACCAGTTCTTTTCCCATATGGTGAGGAGGGCTTCAAACTAGGGATCAAGTATAGCCACACGGGGACCTTGCAGGTTAAATCTAGGGGTGAGGTTACCATGCTCAAGTATTATGCTTTCCGTTTACAACAACGTAGCTGTGAGGCCACTACATTGTTATGCGGCGACCGATTATTCCAAGAAAGTATATAGTCGATGCATTTGCTTGATGAGAGGAGAATAGGCTTTGATTTATTATTAAAAACAATAAGAACCTAAGGTCGGAGATTTACAAGGGTATTTATGACGCACTACACAAGGGTGATTTTGACGGAAACAATGTTGGTAAGAAAATTATATTGCCTACTAGCTTTACTGGGATCAAAAGATACATGGTACAAAACTACCAGGACACAATGGCTATTTGTAGGTTCTATGGGCCTCCAGACTTGTTTATCACCTTTACTTGTAATCCCAAGTGGCAAGAAATAGACGACTCCCTTGCATTTATACCAGGCCAGAAAGCTAACGCTAGACCTGATATGGTTAGTCGGGTTTTTAAATTGAAGGTTCAGGAGCTTGTTTTGGTCTTTGAAGAAGGGTACTTACTTTGGAAAATCACGGCAGAACATTTCGCTATTTTTAGCATACTCGGTACCTACTAGCATTTCTCACGCTAATTTGTAACTAGCTCTTAGTCAAATCTGGAGTATGCATGCTAAAAAAGTAGGCAGTAGTTGCATGCTCCAAGGATGCATGGGTGCATCAGACTGGCTAGCAGCATGCATGCAGAAAGTAGACCATCATATGCCCTGCACAAGAGTTGATGCTCCCCTACTAGCTTTTTCGTGTGGAGGGCATGGGCATCCATGCTGAGACTAGGAGGCACCGCCATCCTCGATAAAAGTAGCAGGCAGCACTCATGGTTGCCAGACCTACCATCCCTTTTCTCGATGCATCCTGCAACGAGTACTATGGCCTGCGATTCTGCGTGCTATTGTAGGCCAAGTAGCTATTAGTGAACAGACTTTCAGGATAGGGCAGCTGTGTTTTTAGGCTAGAAGGTTATTCAATCCTCTAAGTGTACGCGTTTCCGGTAATAAAGAACCAAGCGATGGGCCGTCCGACCTTATCTGCTAGGTGAATTGCACGCCCGACGCCAGAGCTTATCCTATTGGCATCTCCTTCAACCACCGACGCCCGACGGCCGCTGCATCCGCATCCCCACGCCTGACGGCCTCGGCGACTCGATGGTCCACGCCCGATGGGTCCGCGGTGGCCAGAACCACGGCTTCGAAGCCGAGAAACTAAGAAGCGACTTCCCGGCGACTCATGGCTGGCGGCCACCGCAACCAATGGCTTCGCGCGACCACGGCGGCGACCCAGCAGCCGCAGCAGCGTCCCCGCGCCCGGCACCGCAGCTCTCGCCCCCGACAGCTCGCCCCTCGGTGACCCCCGCGGACCCGCGCTTGGCGGCACCCGGACGCCCCATCGAGGGCAAATCCGCCCGTTGCCGTGCGCTAGGCCCACGGGAGCAGGCGGAGTAGATGGAAGCTATGTTTTTTTAGCTCCCACCCTCTCTCTCCTATTCTCTCAGTGGATATTCCGCGACTCCGAGCGTGAAGCCATTTCCCTTGCCACCGTTTGGTTGAAGGAGAGAAAAAATGGCTTTGGGAGCTGCCTAAGGAGCTGTACCAAACGGCCCCTACCCATTGCCTGGATACACGATCTTTCAGTATTCCTGTCTCCTCGCCTGTGTTAGTTTACCATAAAAGCATGTCATAACCAAATAATGCATGCTATATGATTTATTCGACTATAGTATTCATTGCGCTCACAGGGATCCTATCTTTTGATGCTATATATTCTTACTCGTTGCTTCGCTTTTTGATGCTCTACACTATTGAGTTCGAGCGTGGTCTACCTCACGTTCATATTTTGCTTTGGCTTGAAGGTAACTCGAGAGACCCACGACCTTCGTTTATTGATTCAATAATTATTGGCGATATACGAGATAGAGTTTCGGACCCTTTGGGTTATAGCCTTGTCGATTTAATTCATGGTGCATGGTCCTTGTGGGGAGATTAACAAAAATGTCCATGCATGAAGAACAATAAGTGCTCAAAATTTTTCCCTAAAGCTTACCGACCAAAGCATAATTGTTGGTGAGGATGGGTTCGTCTTGATATAGGCGTCCACGAATCTGGTAGTTATGTCTAGCAGTGCGGGGTTAGACTTGACGGTGGATGGGTTGTTACTTACAACTTGTCTTTGTTAAAGAGATTTAGAGCCCACATAAATGTTGAATGGTGCAACAAGACACATCTAATCAAATATTTGTTTAAGAAACGCCACGAAGGGTCCAGATCGTGCTAGAGCTGTAATTGAGAGCTTTGATAATGACACTCATCTTGGCCCCTCTCAACAGACACCCTATAGGTAATGATGGCACCACTCAAATACCCATGGGTAGATACTCGGAAAAAGGATGACGAAATTGATGAAGTTAGGGAGTATATTGATTGTCGTTATTTATCCTCTCATGAGGTCATTTGTGCGGCGTATGTTCGAGTTTGATATACATTATAGGACACCCTCGGTGAGAGAGAGGTTATCTATGCACCGCCTTTCATGAACAACCTTGTGTACTAGGCTAACGCCCCTTAGTTGATATTGTAGATGACCCTCGTTCCCTCAAAACAACATTGGTGAGTGGTTTTGCGCTAATAGGGTGTACCCATTTGCTGAGAACTAACGTATATAGAATTCCCTACTAGGTGAGTTTGGGATAAAAGGATAGAGCTTGGTATCCCCATAAAGGATCCAAGAAAATTGGGAGGGCTATATATATAAACCCTAGTTGTGGTGAGTCAGTACTACCTACGTATGCTCTTGAATGTTGCCAAAGGTGCTACATCCTATGAGAATCTTTGAACTATCATTTGGTGTTATGTACCCAACATTTAAAGATGCTGTCAGCGCTTGGCCTTCTTGGAGATGACAATGAGTGGCGTGAGGCTCTTAGAGAAGCATCTGTCGGGGATCGTCACCGCTCAAATGCGCCATGACTTCTTGTTACTATAGTACTTTTTTGCTCGGGCCACGACATGCCCTCCTTGTTCTCTCGAGTTCTATACTTATTTCAATCGATGATATACATCATAAAATCAAGAGGATTCGCAACTACCATTCTATACGGTTCCGAACAACATATTAAAAACCATGTTTTAGGAGAGCTTGATAATTTATTTAGTAAGAATGGTGCATCGATGACCGACTATGGTTTTCCGAAACCTGATCTTAGCCTTTGTAACAAGGTGAAAAATAGGTCGCTATCGGAGGAATTGGCTTATGATCCTATCGGTCTTATGCATATCCATGACACCTTGTGAATCGATTAAATTTTGAGCAAAAACATATATACGATGTTGTTATACAATCGGTTTATGAAAAGTCGGCCAATGTTTTTTGTTTATGGCTATGGTGGCTTTGGAAAAACATTTCTTTGGAATGCAATCATTTCAGCGGTTATGGTCTGAAAAACTTATTGTTGTTGCAAGTAGCCTCTCTTGGGGTTCTTGCACTCTTGCTCCCCCGGAGGACGTCTTGCACATCCCGGTTTAAAATTCCTATAGTCATTGATGAGTCATCTGTTTGTGAGATTAGAAGGGCTCATTCCTATTTAATAGTCCAATGCTCTTTGATAATATGGGATGAGGCCCCAATGACCCATAGACCTTGTTTTGAGTCACTAGATCAACATGCGTGACATTCTTGGTAAACTGGACTCTTCCAATTTTCATAAGCTCTTTGGTGGGGAAAACGGTGCTACTTGGTGGAGATTTTCGCCAAGTATTACTGTTGTCGAGGTGGGAGTAGATCGAAACCATAGATGCATCCATGACTAACTCCTACATCTGGAAGCACATTAAGATACTAAGACTTACGGTGAACATGTGCCTACTTGCCATGGCATGCGGTGGGTTACCTATAGAGCAAGTGAAAGAATTTAATGACCTGGGTGTTAAGTATTGGAGATGGTCTTTGCACAAGGAGCTGTGCATAGTGACGATGGAGACTCGAGTTAGTAGAAATACCACATGATGTTTTAATCCCAAGGTTAGAGTCAGACCATTGATGATATAATAAGATCTACATACCCAAACTTAGCCACATTATACTCGGATCCACCTACTTAAGGAAAGAGCTATTATCTCTCCAAAAATGACACTATCGATGAAATTAATGGGCGTGTCCTCTCTTTAATCCGTGCCATGAAAAGGTATACCTTAGCTCGGATGCATTGGTTGAGTCTTCAAAGGAACATGGTAATTTAGACTTGCTTTATCCAGTTGAGTTTCTTAATTCACCGCAATTCAAAGGCATTCCTCCTCATAAGCTTGCACTTAAGATTGGTTCTTTGTGATGCTTCTCATAATCTGAATCAAAGTGCAGAGCCTCTGTAATGGTACACGTCTTATAATAACACAATTAGGTGATCGAGTTGTGGAGGCTCTCGATGATTCTGAGGATCACATGTTCTTTGAAAAAGTTATCCTTCCTCGTATTGCCTTGCGTATCAAGTACCAAATGGCCCTTTGTACTTAGTAGGCGGTAATTTCCAATTCTTCTATGTTATGCAATGACCATAAACAAGAGCCAAGGACAAACCTTGCAGAATGTTGGCCTCTACTTGCCACGCCCAGTTTTTAGCCGTGGGCAACTGTATGTTGCTATATCACACGTAACATCTAGGGAAGGTCTTAAGGTCCTAATTGATGATGATGATGAGTTCAGATTGCACCGTCACCCGAACATTGTATACAAGGAGGTGCTTCAGGCCCTGTGGTAACTATCGGCCCATGGCTCCAATCGTTAGCCTCTGTTCCGCATGTTAATGCCTATTTAAATGGTGTATGCTTACAACTTGCGTCTTACTGAAGGTCGTACTCGGTCTAACGATTCCTTTGCTTATGATTAAACGACAGATGGCCTATAACATGTTGTCGGAGATTAACCCAACAAAGTACAATTGGCGTGTCAAGGTTAGAGCCGCAAGGATATGGCGATTTTTCGGCACTTCCAAGGGAAGGAATTTAGCTCAATGGAACTCATTCTCGTTGATGAAGAGGTGCACCAGTTAGCCTATCTAATTTGTTTTTGAGATATATTTGTCCTTGTTACCTTTACTCTCTATATTATTATTCTCTGGGCCTAGGGGTCACTGACTTTGCATTGGTAGAGAAAAACCTTGACAAGTTTTCTAGATCCATATCTCAAGGCCATTCCTATTATATAAGAAATTTCCAAGTCGACAAGCAAGCACGGAAGTTCAAAGCTATACCCAGCATGTACACCATATTTTTCACGTAGTGGACCATTATTGAAGAAATCCCTCTGAGTTGTCCGCTTGATTTGCTGCGCTCTATGTATTTAACTTTGTGGATTTTGGAGATTTAGATGATAAAGCAAGGCATGGGGATGGCTTAATAGGTATGCACCCTAACGAATTCTACAAAACTAAATTGTGCTTATATGCTTAGGTAGACAAAGCTGTAATGCGGTATACCTATTGTACTATATCTAATGACGTATTCATTCAACAGATGTCATTGGGCAACTCATCATCGTGCATCCGATGGTGCATTCTAGCGATTTGAATGGCCCATCCGTAAAGGCGGGAAGTGGAGCTGCGCGATCTAGAGTATGATTGCTATTTTTTCACGGTCATTTGGAAAACCCTTTATAAAGAGGTTACTAAAATAGGTTGCGTTCTTTAATATCGCAGTTGACCGCGTTTTATCGATGACTTTATGGGGTGAGCATGCAACGTCTTTTGAGGACCGGTTCCTTATTGAGACTATAGGAAGCGATGAGGCGGTTGTGATCATTTTTGTCAAGCGTCCAAGCAAGGCTATTTCTAGGTGGTGCTAACTCGTGCTAACCATTGATATTTAGTCTTTGAATCAAATTTAGAGTTTCGATCCAAGCATCCATTTTTGTTTTGCAAATAGGTTCGGCCCACCTGCCGGAGCCATGCAGCAACGAAATGGTACATAAATATTGACATCCCTGAGGTCAATGCTTTCCGTGCTAGGTATGCGTTACTCTCCTTCGTCTTGTTAAGTTCTATAGATGCATGTCTGCTTGAATCTTTTCTTATTTGCTCCCCTCTTTTCTCCATATCTTACAAGGAAGAGGCTCGAGGTTCAACTTCTACCGGGGGTGCTGATGTTGTAGCTAGTGGTCGTGACGAGGAAAATGGTAATAGGAAGGCGTAATAGAACTCTTGTCCTTAAACCCCATGAAGATAATGTAATGCATGGTCCCATCTATATTTATATCCATATGTATTATAGTGTAATGGTTAACTTGTTGCCTTCCACATTGCATTAGGATGTACGCTTTACATGCCATGCAAGTATAAGGGAAATAGACATCACAAATGGTTGGTGGTACAAAGGTTGCAGTGTATGTAAGAAGGGTTTGAAGGCAACACTCCAAGGGTTTGAATGTGTAAACTGTGCTGAGACGGAGCCCGTGATCGTTCCCAGGTAAGATTCTTTATCTGCTAAGACCATGCCTCTAACCTTTATGTGGTGATGAACATTGGTTTCCTAATACGTTTTCTCGATGCATGCATAGCTACAAGCTAAATGTCATCATCGAAGATGCCACTGGCCGTGGGAAAATATTTATGTTTGGAGGTGTAGCTGAGCAGGTCGTAAGGTGGACTGCTGCTGATCTTGTGGAAGAAAGTTCGCCAAACCAGATTTTATTGCATGTGGCCCTACGTGCTATTGTAGGCCGCAGCTATGTGTTCCAAGTAGTTATCAGTGAGCAGATTTTTAGGACAGGGCAGCTGTGTTTTCAGGCTAGAAGGTTATTCAATCCTCCAAGTGTACATGAAAGCGTTCCTGCTAATGTCACTCCCGGTAATAAAGAAGCAAGTGATGGGTCGTCCGATGCAATTACAGAGTCTGCCATTCCTTGTGAAAGCACTCCACCTCTAAATGCTCCGTACCTCCACTCCCCCAAAAAATTCATCCGCCAAGGGAAAGGAGGCAACTGGTGCTGTTCATGAGGACTATGGGTATGCCTTTTGTCCCTAATGTTAGCTTTGTCTTGTATATGCATGCACTACCTGTTGCATGACCTTAGCAAGTATATCCTCCTTGGTATAAATAGGTAGATAAAATATTATTTGTTGGAGCATTCTAATTTTATCTTCCCCATGCAGGAACGTGCTGGGAAATAAATGACCACGATCTGCTCGCAAGGAGTTATTTCCTTCCAAAAAAGAGAAACAAAGGTTATCTAATTTACTTGGTATTGTTTCTAAGTATAAACAACATGCATGGACCATATAATGACCAACAATCCTTTCAAGTTGCAGTGAGGCGTGAAGCTCCATCTTTATGGTCTCCACCACCATATATCATCCAACCTGTCTACGGCTACCGCTAAATAAAGAGTCTGCCTTGTCGCTTGTGCTATGGCAATGATGTATCTGTACCTAAGAGTACAATAATCCATTTAGAATTAGTAGATTGTTTGCAGTGTCCTATTTCGTCCCTTGGCTGACTGGTGCCCTGGTGTCACCTATGTATGAAGCCAATCCTAAATAAAAAGTTAACAGGGACATTTTCTATTTGATGTACTTGTCCAGTACTGTTTTGTACCACCTACGTGTGAAGTAGTTTTGAATATATAATGTTATCTTCTCCTACGAGTTTCTGGCTAACCGTTTGTGACATTTCTAGTGCTACGTTCCTAACCTAATTATTTTGTTTTATGAGAAAACTATATTTGGCACCATTACATAGTTATATGTGAGACTGTTTCCTGCTTTACAAGGTACCTATTTTCGAGTTATGTTGGTGATGCCGCTAGCCTACTATCTTCTAATACTCAAATAGCAATAGAACTCCAGCAATGATATTCGATGGCACGTCATTATTGGGATTCAATAAAAAAAAGATCACATTCCATGCATTAGGTCCTCATAGTACAACACTAACTCCAAAGACATCATGTCCAGCATCGAATAAAATACATAGCCCATCCAAAGTGTGCTGCTATGATAGGCAGCCACTATTGACCTTGCTATTAGGAAACATAACTAGGTTGAACAAAATATACGCACACTTAGTGATAGATTGTAGCCATCGACTGACACTGGTCCCGTACCATTGTCGTCCTTCATCAGGGCTTTAAATTTTTTCATACCCATTGGTGGTAGCTTTCCCTAGATTAGTGTCGCCTATGACATCCTCCTTGTTTGTGCCGCTTCCTGCTAGATTTGTGTTGTCCATGCTGTCCTTCATGGCACCAGTTCCTCCTAAGACAGGTTCTGTCCAAAAATCATCTGGGAAAAGCTCTAGTGGTTTCCTGCAATACAAGTGCAGTTGCTTATGTAAGAAACTGAAGCCGTTATGTACTACATATATATTCAAACGATTTAGCTCCTATATCATTATAGGCTCAAAACGCGTCCCAGTAACACATATAATTAAAACATATACCACTGTTGTGCTGCATGAGTTTTGATATCATGTATTAGAAACAATTTCAAACAATCAGAACTTTATCTGGTAAACTAATACATTAATGATATTGCCCACTGAGAATATATCATAAATAAAAATTTGAGCCAATTACTCTTGGGGATTTTTTTGGGAGCTCCACTTGTATAATGATATACCTTTTGCATCCTGTGATTGAGCTTCCATGCATAGCTCCTTCCGACCCTATAGAATCATGTGCACCATTAATAAATATCCTTGTGCATGTGTACCCCATACCTCGATAGAAAAGGCAACAACAACCCACTTAGACTACATCTTAAATATAGTTTCATACCTTGATTGGCTGTGCATCTTGCCTCATCCTTGCTATGTCCTTCACATGAGAGTCGTGAAGGACCAATTCCCTTGGAGTATGCCTCTAGGCTATTTGGGACATAAGGACCAGTGAAAGACATGGATTGGATTGCTCCAATAGATTCTGCAGGTTCATTAGGCACAATGTATCCTCTCTTCACACGGACACTCCTCCATTTGTTATCTGATGGTACTGGTAATCCAGATGCCAACTGTGAGGCGCTATGCTTTTGTTGTGGCTCTGAGAGATGCATACTTTGTCCAGTTTCAGCATGAATATACACGTCATGAAGCTGACAGTTGATGCCAACTCTAACAAAAATGGGAAAAAGTTCAGGCCCAACCGTAACAATGAGTGCCCTTACATAGTCACGGCTGTCCCTGGTAGCTTCAACACATTCCATCTTTTCAAACTTACAGAAATAATCAAGAATGCCCTTTACATCATCCCAACCCCAACATTCTCTAGGCAATCCGCTTATCCTCACCCAAAACCTTTGCAGCGTTCCATGTGCTCCTATATTCTCCTCCCATCTCCTCACTACCAAAGCATTATTGGAACCAAATAATACCTGCCCAATTGCAGCCTTCTCTAAGATGCTTATGGATGGAAACTCGATGAGATAAGTTCTAGGACCTATTGGAACTGCTTTCCAAGGGTACTCGAAATTATAGACCTCCCGTAGTATGCCTTGAACAACCTCTGGAGTGGATTCTAAAGGACCCAAGGTTGATGCAATTGCACATCTCTTTAGTGTGTTTACTCTAGCCTCACGATCTTTGCTAGGCCCTAGCCAGATGAACTGAGGAAAATAAATAGAGTGTTGTTTACCTCCACGTTGAAATTTTGCTAGAACGCTCACCAATCTAGCGCACTTAGATTGTTCTTCTTCCTTCCTTCCACCCTCCATCCTTGTAATTTTGTTGGCGCTATGGCCATTTTACCGGCCTTCAGTGACTTAAATATATGTGGGGAACGACCCTTCTACATGTTTGAGCCATGATTTGTATGCTCGAGCGGTTCAATTTCCCAGAGCAAACTATTGCCGAACAGTTAGAAGGGTACTGATAAAGGTGCCTTATATGCAATTGGTTGTACATGACCAGTTGCTACACTAGCCTATTTTACAAAGTTGCAAGGACATTAACCAAAGGAAGATATGCTAGCATATGGTCAAGTGCACCTCTAACCTTGTGCATGGGCCACCGAAGTGCGGAGCCTCATAGGTCAATGCCGGAACCTTAGGCGTCCAACTACCCCTACAATGCCACCTCACCATCGCCCGACTGAACAATCAGAACTAGACCAAAGGGAACACACTAGACAAATAAGTGGAGTATGTAAATTTAGGCCAAAATTTTGTAAGGTCTGTGGTTTCCATTGTTTGGTAAAGTAGTGTTATGAGGGGGACATCGTTAAAAAGAATCCCTCTATAAAAGTTTGTCAGAAGGGCTGACCTCTTATGAAGAATTAGTTAATTTGAACAACATCGAGAAGTTCTTATGAGTAAGGAATTCTACTTTATACCACTAAGAAGGAGGAAAACAGGATAGCAAGATAAGAATAGGCATTGTTTGACCTCTGCAGTCACGACAGCCGTATACTATTTGGCCATCTTATGGGCGAGCAATGTACCCCTTGTTTTTCCATACATCCAGCACACTTATGGATTCGCTAGGACATATATGTGATTATCTAGCTGCCATCAATTTTCCATCAACTGTTTGGGTCCCTGTTCGTAAGCAGTTACCTTGTAGTTGCATGGTAGCAATGTTAGCCCGAACAACCATGCCATTCCAAGGCAAGGTACACTAGCCTTCCCTATTCTAAATAGCGGCCTTTGCTTGCAGGCACACATCAACTATTCAACAATAGTTATATGACCATTGGCTTGTATCCTGCCTTTCCTACACTGTTGTACGAAATGCATATATTAATAGAAGAGAGGCGATAGGGATGGATTCGGATCAGAGCCGTACAGATACGGGTGCGTACACCACTTTTTGCGTATATTGTTAGATACAAATGCAAAACGAATATCTCGAATTCGGATATCTACTTGATTTTGAGGATGACAGGTATCTATTACTTATCGATAGTTTAATAGTATACTAAAACCATAATGGATAGAGGGATTTAAAACATAGCTATATAACACCATGCACAAAGACAACTATAGAAAATAAAATAATTTAATAAATATTCTAATAATTAAATATATAAAATATAAGACAATTATAAATATTATATATCAATTACTGGATTCAAATGAATAAAAATAAATTCTACAAGTATATAAACAAAATAAGATACTAATTAATATGATTAGCCATATTAAAATTAATTAAACTTAAGATTTTTATATCGTTACTAAGATAGTACCGGCTTTGTCACATTTTGTCGAATACGAACGTGGAATCAGATAGAGAAAAATCTTCAAAAGCAAATACGGATGCATCCATTTACCATTCATATTTAGATCGAGTACGAATATGAGATATCCATATTTATACTAAATGAATACGGATATCGGATCTTTCGGATATCTAGAAATCTTGACGTCCGCATCCATCCCTAGCTGATACCCGGTAAAACACCTGACAACGACATTTATTACTATAAAATATTTGTAGCACGCAATCGTTAATAAGAAGACCAGTCTAAGCAAGGAAGATTATTATTCAACTATTTGCAGTTGTTCAATACGCCAACCCCTCCCCCCCACCCCACCACCACACACACAACGTTTGGCTATATTCCTGTTTTATTTATTCTTTAGCTTTTCAGTACTTTGCAGTGGGCGGAACTAGCAGGGCCGTGGCCCCCCTAATCCAGTAGAAATGTTTTTAATATCCCTATAATTACTGTAATTTATAGCATATTAAGACATCATTTTACCCATTTTGTATCATAATATCATGATTTTTCGTTATCGATACTAATTACATATATAAAACATTGAAAACAATTGGTGAAACATACACTCATGTATGTATTTATAATACTTAGAGGTGTCATCGTATTTCTCCAGCCCTTCTTAAACAATGCTGCTGGTTCCGCCACTAGTACTTTGTGCACTACAAATTGTCATGTAGGATGCGCCGGAACTAATTTTGGAACTACAAACATCCTTGGCTAATTGCAGTTGAATCATGCTGGGTGGCAGGGAGCCACAAAGTATCATTTAATGATATAAATAAT